ATAGCAGTGTATTAGGCCCAAGGACATGTGGTAGGTCGCTTTTAAATGCAACAAAGAGACCAGGCTCCAGTACGGATCCTTGAGGAACCCCTCGGGTAGCGGTGATAGGCTCTGATAATGAATCACCAATACGAACTGACATGGTTCTTTGTCAGAGAAACTCCTTGATCCAGTCCAGAACCAAACCTGTTACTCCTTAACTGTAGTGTTTTAGCAGTAGAATTTGGCGGTTTACTCGATCAAATACCTCGGAGAAGTCCAAAAAGCTATATCCCATGGCTGGCCTGCATTGACCGATTTTGTCCACTCATCCCGTTCAAGGAGTAGGTTTGTGGTGCACTAACGCTTGTGCCGAACTCCGTGCTGGATTGGAGACAAAAGCTCATGTTTCTCCAGATATTCCATCAGTGGATCTGCCACAATAGCCTCCATGACTTTCAACAATATCGGAAGAAGTGTAACAGGGCGGTAATTGGCTGGATCACTGCGAGATGCCCCCTTTGTAAATGGGAGAAATCACCCCTTCTTTCCATGACCGCGGAATTACCGCCTGATTGAACATCCTTTGGTAAAGAACAGTCAGAGGTTCATAAATGTTATTGGCTAGTGACATCAGAGTCCGGGGATGCATGTTGTCTGCGCCTGGGGATGAATTCTTGCGCAAAGTTAGTAGTTTTGCTCTAACTTTCTCAATGTCAAAAGCAATGTTATCCAGAGACGGATACGGTATACAGGGTAGTTTACTTGGAATCTGTAATGCTTCGTGGATCGTTGCAGTAAACACCTGAGCGAACTGTTTTTTGAGGAACTCTGCTGCTTCTAGAGTAGTTGTTGAAACATGTCCAGACGATCTCAATGCTGGTATTTCGCATTCCACCTTCCTTGCAGAATTGATATATTTATAAAGCAATTTTGGATCAGAAATGAATTTTTGAGCCAGGGTTTCTCGGTGCATCAATTTATCCTCTCTTACAAAATTGGTACACTGATTTCGCAGTAAGGAATAATTATTCCAAGTTTCGATAGATGGACATCTTCTGTACTCCCGCCAGGAAAATTTCCTTTGCTCTATCCATTTATTTGTTCTGCTGAGAATGAATGAATGATGAGTTTTAGATTTAACACAATTTTTTATACTTGTTGCAGCCGTTACAATTTCGGTAAGATATTCAGTGAAGCTCTTCCATGCCACCAAAGAATNCCTTCCTTGCAGAATTGATATATTTATAAAGCAATTTTGGATCAGAAATGAATTTTTGAGCCAGGGTTTCTCGGTGCATCAATTTATCCTCTCTTACAAAATTGGTACACTGATTTCGCAGTAAGGNTCTGCTGAGAATGAATGAATGATGAGTTTTAGATTTAACACAATTTTTTATACTTGTTGCAGCCGTTACAATTTCGGTAAGATATTCAGTGAAGCTCTTCCATGCCACCAAAGAATCGTGATCATCTTCTGGGAGGACCCATTGCTTAAGTATTGCCAGGTTTTGCAGCTTTTTGTAGTCTGTGATGGCACGGGTACTGCTCTTTCGGTTTTCTCGGGTAGAGGCGTAGCCTGGTCAATAGCATGATCAGTAGCATGATCAATACACCCTAGTGGTGACGTGACATTGACAGATTCCACCATAAGCTCGTCGTTAGACAGCACTAAATACTATGTTTATGGTTCATGACCTGCTCCAAATCTGGTGGGTTCTATTACGTGGTTGTACAGTGGGTGCAATCCCATGAAGTGCGATAACTGTCTCTCGAATGGCTGGCTGGAAGTCCTCGTTCTTATGAGATTGGGGCTGTTAAAGTCACCCATTATGAGGGCATGGATAAACTTTAGGGATAAAGCATTCCTCGTGGTTTGCAACAAAATCTCGTTGGTTGTGTCTGAAGATGCGGGAGGTTGGTATACAACACCGATTAGACACCTATCTTTTTTGGAGAGTCTTACTGAGCACAACGAATCGGTGGCTGCGTCGGGAATATCAAACTATTCATGCTGTAAATCGTTTCGATGATAAAGCAGCACTCCACCGCCTCGCGTAGGACGATCAAGTCTGAGCAAAGACATTCCAGATAGAAGCGATTCCGAGTCGAGAATGTCGGTGTTCAGCCAGGTTTCAGTAACGGCAACAATGTCAAATCGATTAGTTTTCCGACGAAGTTCCATCTCGGAGAATTTGCTAAGGTAACCTCGTGCATTGGTATAAAAACATGAAAGATATCTTCGGTAAAGAAATCTATCCGGGTATGTGGTGTTGTTTCTGCCGACCAACTTGGGATCGGTTAACAATGGTTCTTTGTATAACTGGCTTCGTCAGTGTTGCTTGGTGAACGTGGAGTGATAAAAACCGAGGAAGGTGGCGTGCTAGTATCGGTTGATCTTTTCGGACTTTGCCGAGATCCAGTATGTAATGGTCTTAGGCTTGATTCCGGCGGACCCATTTTTCTGTTATCCTTCCACGACTGCGATACGAAGTTAGCCATTTCTGGCGTTCCGATGGTTACTTTCATTATCCTCGGGGCGTTCCCGTGGTAGTTCGGTGAGCTGGGTAGACGATTAATTGCCGTTTTGTTGGCATAGGGATTCGTCTGGATCGTCCAATTGAGGGACTCCATGAATTAAAACAACCCGTTTTATTATCCGATTGCCGTGTGTTTGTTGGGTTTGTGCGGTATTGCGTACGCTCCGTCCAGGGCCTATCTAGAAGTATTCTTGTTCTACACGAATCTTTCTTAAGAAGGTAACTAGAGAGAAGAACTTTTTCCAGGTCCTTCTCGTCTGCAAATGTTACTTGAGGCAATCGTAGCTCCCCAGTATGCAGCGACGATGGATGGCGAAACAGCCGCACGATTACAAGTGGGTGAACGTCAACACCCATTTGGTTAGATAAATCAGCCCAGCGATCAAGCTCCTCTACTTGTTTCTCCCTCAGTGTATTTGTTGTGGACTCTGGCAAGTTGGCGCAAATAACTGTCATTTCGGGGTTGTAAATTGTCTTCTTTATCATCGGCACTGGAGTGTGTTCCTGAATAATCCGAGCTTTAGGTTCAATGCTTTGTGCAGACTCTTGATCTCTGGCATTATT